ATGTAGTTATAGGTGGAGGGGCTCAATTTGGAAGTTTTGACTTAACGGTTAATGGAACTACTTATTTTAGTTCAACAGTAGAATTACCATTTGGAGGCGCTATTAATTTAGGAACTGGTAAAGGTTTTCTTCGGTCTGTTAATTTAGGGGGTGGTAATACTGGTTATGATTATGTTAATTATAGTAGTGGTGGATTACATCGGTTTTATGTTTCAGGTAGTGCGTTCCCTCAATTTTTAGGATTTCAATTATCATCCACACAGGCATATTTTAATGTAGATGTTGTATGTCATACTGAATTACAAACTGATGTTATCAACACAAAAAATGCTACTGATGTTGATTTGGTGTTTAAAAGAAATGATGTTAATATCTTTAAACTGAATACAAGCAATCAAATACAATTGTTAGGGGGTAATGAAACATCCTTTATGTATGAAGAGGCATATTTTGATTTGGTTAATTACAACGTATTAAGAATTAGAAACACTGAAAATGTTGATAATGGTATTATTTCGTTTGGTGTTGGTGATGTGTTGGATGTCTTCCAAATTTACAAGACGGGTTTAACATCAACAGTTGAATTATCATTACCGCAGGTTTTGTGTAATTTATTTGATAGCTTCGCTGGTGATAACGATGTAGTCTTCAATAGAAACGGGGTTCAATTTTTCAGGTTACAAGGTTCTAATGTTGTAACTAACGGGCCAGAAAATTTATTGTTAGTAAATGATGGCAATGTTGGTATTTCTTCAAGTTGGATGTTTGCCAATACCTTTGCTATTAATAGGACTGCCGATAGTGATACTGATTTTAGGTGTTGTATATCTGCTGGTTTAGCAAGTGGAACTGTTTACATGACCTATGAACACATACCAGAAAGACTACATATTAAAACCGATGCCGAGGTTAGTGAAGGTAAAAAGTTATACTTAAATACATCTACTTCAAAAGAATGTTATATTCATAGTTTCATAGAAAGTAATGTTAAGATAATGTCATTAGTAAATAGTGATACTTCGGGTCAAAATCGCATATACTGTGGGGGTAATTTAGTTATTGATATGTCTGGAACTGTTTTAAACTTGCATCAGAACACAACGGTTGTTGCTGGAAAGAATTTAACAGGGGAGTTGGTTGATACAAGTTCGGAAAAGGTAAAATATGATATTAAAGATGCTGACTATGACTTTACAACAATTGTAAAGAACATAAAACCGAAAACGTTTAAAATGAATGAAGAAAAGAAACAAGGCATTATCAAAAATCATTTAGGTTTTGTAGCAGAGGAAGTCCAAGCAAATATACCAACAGATGTTGACAACATCATTTTTGATGGCGATGTTAAAAAGTTAAATTATGTAAAACTAAATGGGATTCTATGGGGATGTGTCCAACAGCAACAACAAAAAATAGAGCATTTAGAAGCTCGTTTATTTGAAGTTGAAAACTTCATTAAAGATTTTGTAAAACCTAAACCTAAAACAAAGGCAAAAGCAAAAACAAAAGCAGAAAATTAAAATATATATTAATATATAAAAATGGGAAATAAACAATCTACGGTTAAAAATGATTGTATAGAAGAATTCAGCAATATAAATGAAGAAGATTTAGACATCAGTAATATATATAGATAGGCTACAGATTAAAGCAATAAAAGAAATATCCAATAAACTGAAGGAAATAGAAGACAAAAAGTCTGATAGAATATTGTATAGACTACCTGCTATTCAACTTTGTAGTTGGAGTTTAATTTAATTTAATAATATTAAATACATTAATATTATTAAGTTATGTGGATTGCCTTTTCTAATCTAATCATAAATATCTTATTCAAATCACTCTCTCTCAATTTTACAAACAAAAATGAATATGCTTGCTCATTTACAGCAATATTGTAGATTTCATATACAGTCTTTTTATCTACCAATGCGGATTGTTCTTGAACAAATGCATCAACTTCTGCCATATTCTTTAACTTGAAGATATATAAACTACTTGTATTTAATCTAACTATCGGAGCAAGTGCATTATATTTCTGTGAGGCAGTTATGACAGATAAACCAAAGTGTCTTGATTTTGTATATAAACCATGGAGGATTTTTTGAATATCTCATAAATGACTTGTCTTCTGCAAAATCGTCAATAATCAATAGGCAACTGAAAAGTGTTTTCATTTTCATTTTCTTTTGGTATTCTATCACCTTGTGTTGTGTGTCTATGATGTGTGATAAGCTTTCGGGGTTGTATTCGTCAAACAGATACTGTTCTTTTTTATTATCAACTTTGAGTTCTTTCTCAATATATTTTATTACTTCTTTGTAAGCTTCGTCAATGTGAGCAGTTGGACTTACGATGTATATACGTTCAAAGCATCCCCTATAAATTTTCAATACCAAATTCTGGATAAGGATACCCTTTCCGCCTTGTGATGCACTAACTATAATGCTTCTGAATGGCAGTTTATCGGCTTGAGGGTATGGGGATTGTTTGAATTCATACTGTTTTACATTGATAGGTTCAATTTTCGGAACATCCAATTTTTGCATAATAATATAATAATATATTTAGAAAATAAGTTTGCAATATATATTGTAATATGACATATCATTTTGCTGACTTGGGGTCGCAAAAAAACAGGACAGGATGTCAATTTACCCTCATAAGAAGCTAATTCATATGTTCCCACCCCGCACGACGCTCGATGCATGCTTTTGAAGCTCCCTCCCCATGTGTCATTATTAGATTATAGCAAAAATATTATCTAATAATAATATGGCTCATGATACTTTTTGAATTTATAAAAGTAGCAATTTATTATATAAAATATTCTATAGATAGAAATGTCACCAAAACCGAAACAAAAACAGAAACCAAAAAGTAAATTCAAAAAGCAACCAATCCCCGAAGATTTTGAACTTTCAGATGATGAACCCGCAACAATAAATCTAAATAAGGAACAGAAATTGTCAAGCAAATTCATTACCTTTGACTGTCCTTTATGTCAAGGAAAGTTGCAACTGAGAAATGAAATAGAAATCAACCCAAAGGCGATAAAATGTAAATGCAATCCGTGCAGTTTTAAAATCAGTAAAAGTGATAAGACAATGAATGTGAGTAGAGATGATAATGATGAAATAGTTTTAGAAAGTGAAGACCATAGCATCAGTTTTAGTTGGAATCGCCAAGTTACCCCAGAAGACAAAAAAATTGAAAGCACTAATAAAATGATAAGTGATGTCATGGGAACTCCAAGGAATAGAGACATGAAGATAAACGACATGGATTAAACACATCTAAAGAGTAGATTTTGTCCAAATCACTTTTTGTAAATAAATATTTAATAAAATATTTAGTTTTTGAAAAATAAATATCTAAATTATATTATATATAAACATGTCTGACGTAGATAATTCTGACAAGACCATTGACATGATAACCAAACTGAACAAGTTGAACAAACAGACCAAGGGAATTGCGGACACACTGCAAAAAATCATGGAAAAACTTGACAAGAAAGATGACAAGACACAAGAAGAAGTGAAAGAGGAAGTGAGCAAAGCCTTTGAAAAAAAACAAATCGGACGCCCAAAAGGCGATTACGACAGCAAACGCAAACAATATTTTGACATGATAGTTGCGGGAAAAATCAAGCAACCTAAACAAATGACTTTGGACTACTACGGGATTGAAAAAACAGATGACACATTCGCGTTGTTGAACTAAATATTTCTAATAACTATATATATGAAATTATTAGAATTATTTTCTGGGACAAAATCTGTTGGGAAAGTCGCTCAACAGTTTGGCTTTGATGTGGTGTCTTTGGATTTGAAAAATGCCGATATCAATTGCAACATTTTGGAATGGGATTATAAACAGTATCCCGTGGGTTATTTTGATTTTATCCATGCGTCCCCCCCTTGCACAGAGTATTCAAGGGCTAAAACGGTTGGTGTGAGAAAGATTGATGAAGCGAACGTCATAGTAATGAAAACTATTGAGATAATCAAATATTTTGAACCAAAATACTGGCTAATAGAAAATCCACAAACCGGATTACTGAAAAATCAATGGTTTATGCAAGAACTACCGTATTACGACGTAGATTATTGCAAGTATGGTTTCAACTACCGTAAGCGGACGCGCTTATGGACTAACATTGATACATGGAAACCGCGTGCATTATGTAAAAAGGATTGTAACAGTATGGATGGAAACCGTCATAAAGAAACGGCGCAACGGGGGAATAGTAAAATACGCGGCGGTAGGGATAACAATAAACATACCCAAAATGAACTATATACAATACCTCAAGATTTGATAAATGAAATTTTCCAAAATATATATTTATAAAAATATATTTATAAAAAAAATCCCAGCTCCAGACAAGCTCACGACCGTCGCAACTGTTCCTGAAATCCTGACCAAAGTTGAGGATGTAACGATTTGTCTTGTGTGTGTATGTATGTTTGTATGTATTTATGCTATGGATATCATGGATATCATGGATGTCATGCCGTGTCATGTTATTGGGGATGGATGGATTGGATGGGATGGTGGGATGGATTGGGTTTACCCCAAAAATTCATGAAAACCCTTCCCGCTTCTGCCCTTGAGTTTCCACAACTCATAGTGTCATCAACCTGTTGCGTGGTGGAGGTGAAAAGTGGCTAAATCAATGGGGTGATGCTCAACGGGTTTTTTCACATTGCTTTTGAAACATCATCTTTGCCGAAGCTGTGGCTGAAAATCATTGCTTTTTTTGCTCCAGTGCAACGTTGCCAAGTATTGCGCCTCTACCTGTGCAAAATGGTGGATACGCCCATGAGATTAGCCTTCTGCCAAACATGGCTGATTTTCTGCCAAACTAAGCTTAGCCTTTCCCCGTAGTTGGCTGATTTTACACAAAAGTAGGTTTAGCCTTCCATTAGGTAGGGCTTTTGTCACCAAAATGCACATCTTTGCTTTGCGCATTTGCCATCAAAATGGCCGGTATTTTACAACTCCATGTCCAACGCATCTTGCTTTCCAAGTTTGCGCTGGTAGGATTGGTCAATGATCTTCTTCAAAGTTCCAATTGTGAATTCGGTGTTGTCTGCCATCACCTTGGCAAACCCATAGGGCCCATAGTGAAATGCGGATACGATTGCCTCTGTAACGGTGGTCATGTCGGCGTTCATCTTTGCCACCTCATTGGAATGCTTTCCCATCATGATGAACGCAATCTTTTGCAACTTGTAGTCGGCGTTGCTGTTCTTCTGCAAGATTTCCGTGGCAAACATGGTGTCTTCAAGAGACATCTTTGACACCAATGAATTGAAAGTTCCCATGCTATCGGTGGCAATACCGTCAAGGAAATTGCCCAGCTCCTTCTCCGCCTCCTTGATGCTGACGATGGAAGACAAAGATGCAATGTTGATGGACGCCTTCTTTTCTGCGAACTTTGCACCGCTAACTTTTGCCTTCTCCTGTTTGACTTGCTCCTTTTTGACGGCTTTTCCTCCACCAAAAAGAATTGGGCGAACCTCTGCGGTGTAGCGGTTCTCTTCAGACAAGTAGTTGGCAAGATTGTCATACTCGAAGAGACGAGAGTTGCCCATGGGAATCATCAAGCAAATGGTGTTGTGGTTCAAACCAGTCTTTTCTTCAAGCACTTGGAAAAGCTCTTCTCCCACTGTGCCACCACTGTAGTGATAATTCACCACGACGCTTCCGGAAATGGTTGGGATGTAAATCTTGGCGGTGAATTTGTTCTCATTCTTCTCGTTTAGGTCAGTGCCGTCAAGGTCATTGGGAACTTTTTTGCACTGAACATTGAATTTCTTCTTGAGCATCTTGTCCAAGATGTCGCTATCAACTTTGACAGCACCTTGATTTGCCTTCAGCAATTTGCGTAGCATCACTTCTTCAATCTGTGTCCATTCATCACCACATTCAGATGACACGGAAGTATTGGCATCTTCCAACTTGTAGCCCTTGCCCTCAAACACATGAGCCGTAGCAGAAGCACTTGGCACACCAGTCTCAGCACCCGCGTCAGCACCAGAAGAAGATGATGCCAAGGGGATACTGGCAACAAACTCACGTGCCTCATTGATTGTCTGTAGGATGAGCGCGTTGGACTTGATTTCATCCCAATGACGCAAAAAGAAAGCAACATAGTCCGCTTTCTTCATCCTTGATGGGACATTGAACTCAAGTGCTTCAAGTGTCTTGTGCATTTGGTCATTTTTCATGTTCTCCAGAAGGCTAACCAACTTGCCCTTGTCATTCGTGATGTCATGTTCATCCAACCGGTTCAAATCAAGAACCATGCCAGAAGTGACATGAAGAGCCCTCATGCCGTTGTCGGTCTTCATGAACAGAAGAGCCATCGCAAAAAAAATGCGCCAACAAGAGATGGGAAATTGTAATTTCACCCAGCACTTGAGAGAAAAAGTGTTACCATACATTAAGTTGTTGAACTACTGTGTGTCCCCATGCTTGTGTTGAACACTTCTGCCAAATGTCAAGCTTTGAATTCTGCCTTGGAACTATCACATGCTCCATGCTCCAATTGAAGACCGCACGACCACCCGTGTAAAATCCCGCCTCATCATTGATGAAGTTGATGACACCATGAGACATCCAAGGCTCTGACCTGACAGTCAGAGAAATATATTAAAACATCTTAACATATAGTTAGAACATATCCTACCACATGTTCTATTTATCGGCAAGGGTCAGGCATCCGTTCAACTAATGTCCATGAAAATGAAAGCATATATGAATATCCAAAGTATGAAGTCATATATGATAAGGTGAGGATGAAGATGAAATGAGATGAGATGAAGATGATATAAATGTGATTTTTCAAAAAAAATAATTTATCATTTTTCAAGAATGATAAAAATATTTTCAACAATCAATGATTTCAAACAAATCATTGAGTGTTCTAAATCACTATGTGATTTTCACTTTACAACATCCACTAAAAGAACATCAGAATAGTTGTATTTTCTGTTTCCAACTTTTGGTTCGGGGTTGGGATTATTTGCTTTTTCTCGTTCTTTCTTTCTGTAATATTTCTGTCGTCCTCTTTCCCTTTCCTTTTCAAGATATTCGGGGTCTTCCTTTTTTCTTCTTTTTTGGTAAAGGTTGTGATATATTGCAAGTTGAGTTTTGATTTCATCCAACGTCAAGTCTTCTAACTTTTTTGTGACTTTTTCTGTCATAGTTGATTAATATACATAGGTAATATTTCTTTAAGTCAATTTCATTGAAAAAATCAGAACTATCATTTAAGTCAAAACTACTTAAAGAAATGATAACTATAATTTTTATATAAACTATTTTATGACTAAAAAATCTATAATAAGAAATCTTGATATTTTGAGGAGCATGAGGGATAGAAAGAGGAGAAGGGTTAATGCAACAACCCTTGAAAAAATCAACAATGTTATTGAACTTTATCAGGACAGGAAGATTTCACAAATGGCAACCGCGGAAAATCTACTCAATGGAATAGTGGAAGGAAAGGAGAAGGGAATGAAAGCATATGAAAAAGCGGTTGCCAAATATCAGGAAGCAGAGCCCATTGGAGAAAGAATCAATGTAAGACTTGCGGTTCAAAAAGCAAATGAAGGAAGAACAAGAGCAGTGGTGAAAAGAAAAGGGAAATTGTATTCAGTTAAGTATATGTTTTTTTCAATTCAAAGAGGGACAACAAACAAAAATAAAAGCTTTGTCCATAAAGGTAATAGATACTACCCGCTTTTGATGAACCCTATGGAGAGAACGGGAAGCGTTAAGAGCCAAAAATGGATTGAAGAAAAGGTAGGGGAAAAAATTTTCAAGGGTGACCGTGACACAGAAAAGGATTTTGCAAAATTAATGATTATCATGAGAACCGACAAAGACTTTGAAGACATTGTCCAAGGCGAACTTTACCATTACATTGATGCAATCAAAATCATGAAGGCTGAACTAATTGATGAGAGTGCTGAGGACTATGACATTTTTGCTGATGAACTCACTGACGCAAAATATAACGTCAGTATTTTCAATAGATATGTGCAAACAGAACTTAACCCAGACTGTTTAAAATTCAAAGAAGCCATCAAGAAAAAAGGGCATGTGGATAATGAATGTTGGATGAATACACTATTAGACCATTATTCAGAGACATTGTTTAAACACAAAAGGGGAAGCTTAGCAAGAAACATGTGTAGAGAAAAAATATTGGAATGTATCGGTAAGACCGATGAAGAATTTAAACAGAATGGAGCATCAATAAATGGCATGGAAAAAGTCTTTAAAGAATTCAAAATTAAAGCAAGACTTTATGACATTGACAGTAATTTGATTTACAAACATGACCCAGAAAACTACAACAGTAAAAAATTCATTACTTTCAATGGCTTAGTTGCAAATAGCCATATCTACACTTTAAATCATGACCTACAATCAATCAAGAGAAGAGAAGGTGGAGATGATTACACTAAAGATGTAAGAGGAATAAGTAACAACTACTACGTAAATGGTAAGAAAGAACCATTGAAATACAAAATGATTAAATCCATTGATGACCTACTGCAACTCAAAGAAGAAGATGAATACAAAAACATTTTAGAAAACAATTGTTTGAACAAAGCATTACATGACCTAAAAGTATCTGGATACACACCGCAAATAAGATACAATGCGCATAGAACAACACAAATTACCTTAGAACTCACTCACAAAATAGCTGAGAAGAAATTTAAAACTGTAAAATATACAATTGAAACACAGTCACTGAATGAGGATAAAATTGATGAAGACATAGCGGTAAATACAGAAGAGAAACATAACAAAGTTAGCGCAGAAATGTTCAAGTTTCACAAGCAACTTTTCAATGAAAATTTTAAATCGTATTATAACGAAACCGATGTTAAGATATTGGATGAATGTAGGACAATAGTTCCCAATGGACGATTTTATGGAAGGGATATTTTTGATGAAATTAGGAAGTGTAGCATTGATAGAAGGAAGGCATACTCATATCAAGCAAAAATGATTTCAAAAGTTCCGGTGTTCAAAGAGTTTGATGTATGGCAACATTATGACTATTCAAAATGTGATGTGCATAGGAATGGTAATTATACATTATACTTAGTCAAAGTATGTCAAGCAAATCTGTTTTTCAACAAAAAGTTTAATCTGGTGTATGGAAAGCATCTGAAAGAATTGATTAAAAGAGGTGTTGCTATGAAAATCATTGCATTAAAAAAACCATCTTTCATTCACAAAGTTAAGTTTAACAAAGCACTGGAAGAACTTTACAAAAGTAAAATCAGTGATGATGAAACTGAAAATAACAAAATTCACAAAACCATTGCAAACATTGCTTTTGGATTATGGGAGAAGAGTTACAACAAAAAAACTGTGAGTAGGATATTCAACAATTTGAAGGAAGCTTTGGCTCATCAGAAAAAGTATGATGGAAGAATTTACGTATTAGATGAGGTTGAGATGGAGAAATATCAAGAATGGAAAGAAGATAGCGATAGTGAGGATGAGTTAGATGATGAATATGATTATAAACATGAAAATGGTAAGAGATACAAGGTAGAAAGAATACCAGAATGGAGAGAAGATAGCGAAGACGAGGATGAATTATGGCACGAATCGTATGATTATAAATGGGAAAACGGTAAGAGATATAAATGTAGAAAAGAAGCTGAATGGATGGATTACAAAATTGAGGAGAAGGGTAGAACAAGTAAATACTATATTGTAAGTGTGTCTGGACAACGTCAGATGATGAACGGATTTAGGTATCTGAAAGAATTACTTTTACAAAATCATAATTTTGAAATGTATGATGCATATGAAAAATTGAAAGCCAAAAACATTGAAGTTTATGCTGTTAAAACTGATGCTTTTCATATTGCATACGCTGACTTCAAGAAAGCTAAAAGGATTTTGAAATTTGGTAGTGAAATTGGCGACTGGAGATTTGAAAAGGACAATGTGAAACAAGTTGAGAACATCTACCATTGGCAAAATAACAATATTCCTAAAATACCTGTTTATAAAACTGAAAGGATAGAAGTAAAAGATGAATGGGATACTGAGGCAATAGCAAAACAAATCATTGAAAAGAAACAAGTAATGATTAGGGCAAAATTTGCTGGTGCGGGCAAGTCTCATATAGGCAAGCATTTTGAAAAAATGGGTTACCGGTCGTTATTTGTTGTTCCTCAGAATATGTTGAAACAAGAATGTGACTGCGACGCAGTAACGTTAAATACCTTTTTCAGTGTTCCAGTTCATAAAGGAGATAAACTACCATTGTTTGATTATTCAGAGTTTAATGTCATAATTTTTGATGAAATCTATATGGCAAGTCCATACATTTTGAACAGAATTAGGCAGTTTGTTATCAACAATCCCGATTTAATCATCATTGGAGCGGGTGATGTTAAACAACTACCAAGCATAGAACCATTCACTAACATTAGGAATGCTGAGCATTATGTGGATGAATGCATGAACATAATTTTTAAGTATAACATCTTCTTAAAGATTTGTAAGAGAGTAGGAGGCAAGGATACAGAACACGGAGAAAGAAATAGAAACAAATTAAATGAAATATACGATGACTGGTGGATAAAAGAAATGCCACTGAAAGAATGGATAGAAAAGCATTTCAAATACACTGATGACATCATGATTAGTGAAAACAACATTGCATATACAAATTTGAGATGTCAAGCTGTATCAAATGAAATCAGAAAGAAGTTAAATAAACAAGCTAAGTATGAAGTAGGAGAAATATTGATATGTAGGTTGTATAGGGACGATGAGCAAGGAAAACTGAATGTGAATATAAGGTGGAGAGTTGAAAAGGTAGAAGGTAAGAAGGTTAAAATCAGAGACATCAAAGATAGTAAGAATGTCAGAACATATGATGAATATAATATAGAAAAGCATTTTAGATATGCCTACTGTGCTACAACACATAGTAGGCAAGGACAATCAATAGATGGTAATCTCATAATTCATGAATGGAATAAATCATATTTGGTGAGCAGGGAATGGATATATACCTCAATAACACGCGCAAGAGATATAAACAAAATTTACTTTTACAAAAATGAGAAGGGTGATACAGATATGTTTGAAGGTCTGTTGATGAACTATTTTAAGAATAAAGTTGATGGATACAAAGCACAAGATAGAAAAGCTCAAAGAGACATAGATGAAGATGAATATGTTGATGAACAATTTTGCTTAAAACTATTCAAGAGTTGTTGCTCAAATTGCGGAGTGCAGTTTAACATTGAAATGAAACAAGGGAAACTGAGTTCAAATTTTACATTGCAACGTGTAGATAACGAGGTGAGCCATT